GCGTGGAGTGGTTCAGCCAAATGGGGTAATACTGTTCAATGCCGACCGGGAATATCAACTCCCGGTCCACAGCATAGATACTCCAGAAGGAAGTGCTCACGAAAGCAGCCAAAGGGAGCGCCAGTCCGTTGAAGAGAGTGTCGCGGACTGACACCATCACCGGTGGGCGAGGTTTGTGGCGGTTGTTGTTGGGGTTGGATATGAAGTCGCATATCAACGCAATGGTAAATGTGATGAACTGGATCCATAGGTTCCAATAGGTTAAGTACTTGAGTCGACCCCCGTATGGATTAGTAGATGGTGGTAAGGGGTGTAGCAATTGCCACGATATGCTGTACCCGTAGAGTATAACAGCAATTAAATGCAATAAAACGGATAATGGATATGATTTGACACTCATTTGGACACTGGTTTACACAACGGCTATGAAATGACATACAAATTAAGTTTTAAAGGAAACAATGCTTTTGAGTGCAAATCATAAGTAATATATTTGTGATAAAAGTTGTCAAGTTATGTAACAGTAATACAGTAGTAGTGGTAATACTGTAGTAATAATGGATTGAATGAAAGCAAAGTTTACATCAAATCCAGTAGTGATTGCATTGTCTGTCGGATTCACTGCAAAGTCACTGATAGCCAGCGATTGAGAGTCGACTCAATCGTATGCCTAATGTTGTGATGAAATGTCAATACGTTTCCAATATTTGTCTCTCTTTTACATCTCTTTCACTACTCTTTGCTCTCATTTATGTCTCAATTGATTAACAATTCATTCAATCATTCATTCATTTATTTGTTATTTATTTGCAAATTATTATTATTATTATTGCACTCAAAGTAGTGGTCGTGAGGAGTGAGTGGTGCACACAATGGCAGCGCTTCTCAAGAACCAGATCCTCAAACACCTCTCAAAGTATGCAATCAATCATTCACTCAATGATCATATGACTCATGAATGGTGTGATGTCTTCCTCTTAGGTTCACGAAGAACTTATCGGCAGATAAGCTCAACTTAAGTGCAATCAAAGGGTGTTGTGATGTCCACAACATAGAGCTCAATGAGGAGGTGTTGATGGATCTGTTGGAACTGCCCGTCTGGATGTCCTTAACGCGAGCCTTCTGTAATCACGTGTCACTGAAGGTTCAGTGGATGAAACTGAAGACCGTTCCCATATATCTGGCTTTGGATGAAGTGGTCGTTGAGATGGAGACGTGTGAAGACTTCCGCAGAGACTCCAAGACGAAGAGCAAAGGAAGTCCTTCCTATAAGTCAGTTCATCCACAAGTCATTGTATGTCTTATCTCTCAAAATGCTATCATATCTTATATCCAGTGATTCCGGAAAATATGGTTTCGCTGACCGAGTCTTTGATGGCATGACACTTACCATCAATTCAGTTGTCATCACATTTCGATCCAAAGTCTTCAACGCATCCCTTCAGGTGATTATTATCTTATCAATTGTTTGTTAATATTCTAATGGTTTGTCAAATACTGAATGAATGGATCAGTTGTCGCGACTGATGGTCGAGAGTCGAAGTCCTAATTGGAAGCGAAACGTGGATTTGAGGCTAACCCGCATCAAAGACCCAAATAGGGGACAAATCCTGATATTCAAACACTTGGAGTGGCAGACCCTGCGCTTTGAGGCCAAAGCCGAGTCAGACATCGTTCAGACACCTTTGCGACTGATCACAAACCAGGCCTCGTGTCGCATAACCATCAAAAAGAGTCTTAACGACTGTTCAGCTCTGGGCGCGAGAATTATGTTCATATTCGACGACCTCTTGTGGGTCTTAACCGACGCCCAACTCCTGTCTGCTCTGCATTTCGCCGACTATTTGATTGAACTCATCAAAAGAGCGCCGCGAATGAAGCACTTCAATGACTTCACGCCTCAATCGCCCACTTTCTCCTCACTCAAGAACCTGAGCACCAGTTCCGCTCAAACAGCACAGTCAGCCGTCAGTCGCCTCTTCAGCCAATACGATATCATAGAGACTTCTCATCACCTGTTCGTCAGTCGCATCGAAGTTCACTTATGCGATGATTTGGACCCAAATAACGGCCGTTCACTGCACCCAAGCCTTAAGGATGGCGGCGCTCTTCAGATAACGGTGTCTAAGCTCGTGATCGATGTCTATCCCTATCAAAAGGTCATATCAAACCGCAATCATTGGCTCAGATATTCTGACCCGTCTTCGAGTCGCAGCCATTGGATTAACGAACACTTGCAGTCGTTTCTCGAGAAGAGATCCAAAAGCATATCTTCACAGTCAGCACCGGTTCGGACGCAATCGCGCTCTCCTTTAAGTCAACTCATGTCTCGAGTCATTCTCATCCGTTTAGCCGATTATTCTGTCAGTTGTGTCACAACTAATACCACAACAAAATTAAAACTCAATGAGAAACTGATCGCAACCGATAAGTCGGCGCCACTTCCCGACGATATGGTGGCCTTCTATATGGAAATCAATAACTATTATTACGTCGACTCTAATGATACCGTTCCCGAGTCGACAGCTTTCATACATTTGGCTCCACTTAAAGTCAATTTCGATTCTTTGACCCTTTTATGGCTCAATGCTTTTCAGTCTAATCTTCACAACGCAATGGTTAGACTCCAGGAAATGCTCCCTAAAGAAGAGAAACAAAGGCTTAACACCAGAATTGAATGCTTAATGCCATTGATTTCCATCAAATGTCCGGAATATTCTGAATACACCTCTTTTGAGATAAAGAGCGCCAGAATTGTGGCCATGAATTGCGAGACAGAGAATACAAGTTTCGATGAACTCAATGGACTAATGGAAGGAATGGGAAGCACGCCATTCATGTACGAAAGACAATCATTTCCGTGGATCCAATCGGATCCCAAACCAGTTTCAGATAAATTTCTTACGAATTTAGCAAAACTCAAGACCAAAGAGAACTCGTCAGACATTTGGACGGTTAGAATGGAGCCGTTGTGGGCAGAGTTCAGGACTAAAAAGTCCAATAAATTTCAGCCACTTTTAGAGCCCCTTCCCATCACTTTGTGGGCGTTTGAGACGCCGCCAGAAATGAACAAAACTAGTGATAACTCAGAGCCAGATCTGAGTCTCATATTATGCATATCCTCTTCAGTGAAAGTACAGCTAAATCACAGCCAATACTTATTTTTAATGAGATTTTTAGAGCAATTGAGTGAATTTGGAGTTCAAATGAATTCGGACACAATCACTATACAGACCAATGGTCAGCAAACCACAGACACAGACAATCTCTTTAAAGGCATTTCATTGATTACACGCATTCCTGACATTGAATTAACCCTCAAATTGAACGAAGAGTTCCAGACGTTTCGAAGTATTGGTGTTTCGCCACAGCATTCGGTTCTGGACTTAAGCTCGCCTTCAATTCACGAGAAATTGTCAGTCGATTCGGAGATTCCAAGACATGACGAGCACTCAGTGACTAATAAACTGATTGAATCGTCTTCTGTGTCCAAATCGCACAGCGATTCCCTTCTTAGCGGCAGTTCTTTAAACTTTGATCACAACAACCAATCCGTGCAAAGAGTGGAAACCGTAAGAATACAAAAGGATTTGGCGGACAGTTTGCATGCGTCCACCTCTTTGACTGCCATTCCGGCGCACATTAAACTCCAAAACGCATCAAACGTTTCCTTCACGAAGANTGCGTCCACCTCTTTGACTGCCATTCCGGCGCACATTAAACTCCAAAACGCATCAAACGTTTCCTTCACGAAGAAGTCTTCAAATTCGGATGCTTTGAGTTTAAGGAGTAATTCAACTCTCAATGAATCGGGTCTTACGGACTGTTCGCTCATCGATGACGACAACCGGTCCATAAGAAGTGATTTGTCGGGAGAGAGCGATCAGTTCGTTGTCGTCGGCTTCGAGACGATGACACAAGAGGAAGAAGAAGACATATTTAACACGAATCGCATCGAAACGGCCGACGAAGTGAAAGAAGAAGACTCGTTGGTTGACTCGCCGTCCGATGACTCGGACACAAACAGTGCCTCTAATATATCGACAGATAATCCTCTGAGCGTTACTTTGGTTCAGATCGCGATCGCGAACCTAAATCTCGTTCACCAGTCAAAAGGGTTTCATTCAAAGATATTAATGCGATGTTCAGACATATCATTGTCTGAATTCATGAAACTGCCATTCAATGAGTACCAGACACTCACCAATCAAAGGGTTGTGAATAAGACTAATAATAATAATGCATTGAATTCACGAGAAAATGCGTCCGAAATACAGCTTCGGTTGGAATCGTTTGCGAAACTCAACGATAAAGACGAACTCATCTCTGTTTTAGTCAATAGTCTGGAGCTAACGCTACACATGGACTCAGTTATGCTTTTGAATGACTTCATCACCGATGAGGAGATGGCTTACGTGCCGCCGACTAATATACTCCTCAATAACGTATGCATTACTCTAATGGACGAGAAGGTGAGTTCACCGCCGCTGACACTCCGAGTGCCCCACCTTTTCGTACAAAGGGATCGATCCAATCACATGAGTGTCCATCCAATCCTTACAAGTAAGGCATTGCCACAAGAATATTGCCACAGAATCACAGAATATTCATGTCGTGTCTCATTTCAGACCATACATGGAGTGCGAGCGCACACACGGAACAGCTATTAGTTCCTCACCTGAAACTACGACAACGGAATGGCCGCACAATTGACGCCACCATTGAGTTAGGAGTTGCGCATAATAACGAGTCCAACGATGTGTTGGATGAGGTGCTCAAGAAGAATGAGAGTCTGGTGCAGGAAATGCAGTCAATAAGACGCGAGAACCAGGAACTCAAGAATCGACTCAAACTCTTTCAAAGTTAATGAAGACATCCCGAAGTCTATATGAAAGACATCCTCAAGTCTATAGTATTGTGAACTCCAGTCAAACATTTTCTATGATATCCTATACTTTCTTACGGCTATTGAGACACACATTACCCCTATTTATAAGATGTCTATTGATTACTACTATTGAATGGATGCTTATTACAGACATATAGTTAATATAATTGATTAGATTATGACCACAATTAGTGAACACATGTCTCAATGGGACACCAAATGTGCAATCAATCCATAAATCACTCATTTTGTGTCATATTTGGCACCAATTTGTACTCATTTATGGCATAAATGTAAGCAAACTATGATTGACTCACTATTGAGACAATGTATGGCCCATAGAGTCACTAATTTGTCATGAATTTGACAAATATTTTAAATTATTTCCAAATCGTTATATTTGAAGGCATTGTTACCACTGATTGATTCAAATTTGATTTTTATATTCAATATATTCTATTCTATTGTGATTACAGTTAACCGGATATAAGTGTTATGCAAATGAATACACGTTTGCATTGAAAGCAATTCAATAATAAATGATAATATGTTTCAAATGAATCACTCATTCATTACGTGTCCACACAATAGCCGCACAATAGTATGCATGAAGTAATGATAACGTATGGACACCAGCACTGCACCAATCATTCAGTCATTTGCCGCCAAACTATACGTTCGAACGCCGACTTCGCTGTTCGTTCCGTTTGGCGCCAATTCTCCACTCATTCACCGCTATTTCGGACCCTTTTCTCACATACGTCTCAATCCACTGCATATTCTTTTCATACAATTCTTTGCATTCTATTTCACGTCCAATGTATGCATTCAATGCCAAAGTGGCGTACAATTAGTGCGACGTTTTTGTAACGTTTTCTAATAGTATAGCATTGGTTGAGTCAACACTCAAATAAGTTCTCAATCTTTTGGTGGAATTTTCCATTCGTTTCACTCGTCTATTGGTTTGCTATGGGATTGCGATTTGCAAACACCGGCCCATACACTACCCCTACACCCATACAACACATACATACAGTACTACTACTACTCAGACCCATAGATACCTATACGTCAACCTTGAGGTGCACTACAATCGCAGCCAATACTCAGTCCACTCGACACCGCATTTTCGTTTCGTTTCCTTTTGGCGGCGTTTGTCTCAAACTTTTGAGGCATTCATTCGAGTGAACAATACGTGCAGTGAAGGGCTCACTATAGCTGTAGTAGTGTTGCGTAAACGAGAGTCGACTGTAAGTGCAGTGAAGTCTCGTCTATGCATTCATAATTCATAGGTTTGTCTGTAACTGAGTAAAGGTCTCACTGTCTGAGAGCCACTGACAGAACAGCTCTCTATTGGCGCTCATGGATAGGGCGGTGCGTCGACTAAGTCTCGCAAATGACGTTCACTTGTTGGCGCAAAGTGCAGACACTGTGAAAGGCATTCGATTCTCGCATTTGGCGCTCAAAGCGATGACGTATTATATGTTCTTCGCCTTCACTACACGTACACCGTTTGCGGCGTCGCCTCTGATTGGGTGAACGCTCGTCACGTGAGGCTATTGTCTGAGAAGTGGAGTCAAGCACTGAGTCTATGCATAGTCTGCAGTCGTATAGCATTCGAAGCACTGATTGACTCCGCGTTTCGCCGGCTTTTCACTCAACAACTCTTTGCTTTCATTACTTGTGTTGTGATTATCACCGAAACTCTTGGACACTATGCCCGCCACCAGATCCAGAACCAGGTCTGTCACCACTTCTGGCACTATCACTGTCACTATCGCTGTGTTGAGTGCACGCACCGGTCGACCGGTTGTGTGAATCACTGAACCATTGATTGAATGGAGTTTTGATTTGCAATCTATTAATTGATTTGTTTTATGCGTTAATCAGTACCGAAGGCACAGAAGTGGCCGTCGAGGACAAGAAGGTCGACGACATCTCGACCACCAAAGAGGTAAGCAGTGATTTCGTGATGCATTGAGTGGTCACTGAATGGATGTCTCAATGGATAGGAAGTGACGGACATTAAGGAAACGGTGACTGAGGAGAAGGACAGCAACGAGTCGTCGGACAGCACTAGCAATGAGTCGAACAATGAGTCCAAAGCGGTGGACAACTCGGAGAACGGTGACAACGATGAGGTCAAGTCAGACACCAATGGGAGCGCAGGTATGGATGGCTTAGTTGCCAACGAGTGGTCACATGCCTGAGATGACTGTCTCACTGAACATGTGGTGTATTTCAGGCGAGAAGCCGGAGAACGGGTCCGCGAACGGCAAGAGGAAGTCAGTGGGCGCTGATGAGGGAGGCGACGCCCCCGACAGCACTGACATCACCCCTAAGAAGGCCAAAGTGGACGCCCCGACCGATGATACTAACGGTGCGAACAATGGCGCCGCCGGTGAACAGGAGGACAAACAGACTTCCGTCGAAACCACCGCTTAATTCAAGTTTAATTCAATTTAATTAATTATTTTCTCATTTGTCAGACGTTTTTCTTATAAGAAATACTTGTAATTAATATAGACTTTCGTTTAGTACTAATTTCATTCAAATTCTTATTTTTTTTTCGTTTATTTTGTATTATTATTATAATTATTATAAATGTATTGGAATTAGAAATTTCATTATTTTTTTAGTATTATTTAAATGAATTGTTTTGATGACAAACCATCGTTCGGTTGTTATTAATAATTATTTAATGTTTTCTCACTTTTATATCGCTTTGATTTTTTTTCGCTAAATTTTCTCCATTTAATGACTTTAATGTTAACGCAAAACGAGTGAAAAATCGTAAAAAGTAAACCAAAACTTGATTTATCAATATTAGCAATACTTATGACTTGATGTGTACTTACAGTAACTTATAATTGGTTTCATTGCGTGACTTCTATTATATCATTAATAAGTCTTTGCTTTTGTTCACTAAAACTAAAGACCAGAACATCTGCAGAGGAGTGCAGGAAATGAAATGAATTATAAGTTTTACAAACATTTAATA